GTCAGATATCGCTACAAAGGAAGCAGTGTATACGGCTATGGGTTTGGCTGCACCCAACGTCATGAACGCGTTCGATTTCGATAGTCTCCTGGTCTCGACTGTTCTTCAAGATGCGCAGCAACAAGGGCCCTTGTATAAGGTTCTCCGCAGACGCATCGCAATCATGGTCAGCCAATGGGTTACGGTCAAGATTGCCGACAACAGTAGACCACTCATCTACGAAATGTTCCGTCACTTTCTCAACCCCGCGGACCCGAACAACGACATTGTCGTCAGAATCACAGCCGCGCGTCAGCTGCGGTGGATCGTAGACGAGCTTGCCTTCAGCGCAGAGGCTTTCCTCCCCTACGCAGCCGATGTGCTTAATGAGCTACTTCAGCTCATCCAAAATGTTGACGTGGACGAGACCAAGCTCGCCGTGCTGGAGTCCATGCGTATCTTGGTCACGAGACTAGAGAATTACGTCTCTCAGTTCGCAGACTTTATCATGTCAAGCCTACCGAGCATTTGGGAAAACTCTGGAACGGAGGAGTACATGATTAAACAGGCAATCATCGCCATCTTTGCCGCGCTGGTTATGTCCATGGGCAGCGACTCTCAGAGGTATCACCACCTGATGGTCCCGTTGCTCTCAGAAGCAGCCAAACCGGGCTCCGACCTGCACACGTACCTGATCGACGAGGCATTGGAGCTATGGAACTCTGTTCTCATGCAGAGCAACCCGCCCTTATCCGCAGATATTATGAGCATCGCTGAATTATCACTTCCCCTGCTGGAGTATCAAACAGAGACCGCTGCGCAGGCGTTGTCCGTGGTTGAGTCCTACATTCTCCTTGGCACACAAGCTGTCATGGAAGATAGACTGCGGCGTCCATTCTTGGTCGCTCTGTCAGGCGTTCTCGACTCTAGAAGCCGAGAGCAGGTCAGACTCGGCACCGTGTGCATTGAATATCTGATTCGGGCCGCCTCTGAGCTCGGCGGAACCCAGGTGATTATGCAGGATCTTCTCGAACTTGGTTTCTTGAAGAAGATTATGGAGGCTCTCCACGATGCTTGGGAGGCACACCAGACGACCGGACCGAACAGGAAGGTTAGCAAGCTCAACACGATAACAGAACGCGACTACTTTGCAATTCTCTCACGACTCCTTATCGCCGACCCGACACTCTTCGTCACCATGCTCACATCTTTCGGGCCTCTAGAACAGGTTTGGGCCTGGCTCAGCGGCGAGTGGTTCTCTCACCTCGACGGGCTGGATCATCTTCCTAGGCAGAAGCTGTCCCTCCTGGCCCTGGCGCGCCTGATGGAGCTCCCGCAGCCCATGCAGAACCTCACACTGAGCAAGTTGCAAGACTATTTCACGCTGTGGGTTGGCACCATTGCCGAGCTCCAGGACGGCACGACGGACGGCACCGACTCGCTCATCTGGGGCGAACTCGAGCCCACGGATTACGATACACCCAAGAGCATCAAGGAGACGGAGTTTGGCGCCAAGGATCCCGTCCACACGATCAACGCCATGAGATTCGTCAAGGAGAGGCTGCAGGATATCGTCCAGCGCTCCGGTGGAGAACAGCAGTTTGAGCAGGAGTGGGCTGCCAATGTGGACAAGGACGTTTTGCAGAAGTTTTGGTCGTTGACGCAGATCACGGGCGCTTAGGGAGCCAGTGCTGCTGCAGCAGCAGCGTTTGCGTGAGCTGTTCGTCGGGATTGAGCTGTAATAGACGGGAAAACATGGGAATGATTATGATTTCATGACGAGGCTGTCAGATAGAGAAAGAGAGGTGCTCATGGCGTATCTCCTGGCAATGGGCAAATGTGAATACAAGAACGATTTGACGCCTAATGGCGGAAGCACCCGTCCAAAGAGAACTAGTGTTTATTGAAGACTTACATTAGTGGCATAAGTGACTGATTCAAAAGTCGATCTAGATATGCCTCGCTGTAATCGCCCAGAAAACGACACTCTCGCAGTAACATGGTTCTACAACTTGCTCTGACCATCCTGCGGGATCTTGACAACGACCTTACCCCAGGTCCCCCGGCTGCCCAGAGCAATAAGCGCGTCCGGGATGCGCTCGAGCCCGACAAACTCCTCGTCGGTGAACTCGGTGCCGCGTAGCTTCCCCTCGGCGACGAGCTTCATGATGCCCTTCCACACCTCGACGACGGTCTCCTTCTCCTTGACGGCGTACTGGCCCCAAAAGATGCCGACGAGGCTGATGTTCTTGAGGAGCACCTTGTTCATGGCCACCTTTTCAATCTTGCCGGCCGCGAAGCCAATGATGAGGATGCGGCCGTTCCAGGCCGTGCATTTGGTGCTGGCGTCGACCATGCCGACGGGGTCGTAGACGATGTCGACGCCGCGCCCGCCGGGCGTGAGGGCTTTCACTTTGGCGGGCCAGTCGGCCTCGCGGTAGTCGACGACGTGGTCCGCGCCAAAGGCTTTGGCGACGTCGAGCTTGCGCGGAGTCGAGGCCGTGGCGATGACGGTGGCGCCGAAGGCCTTTGCGACTTGCACGGCGGCGAGGCCGACGCCGCCGGCCGCGGCGTGGACGAGGACGATGTCGCCGGGCTTCACGCCGGCGCGAACGACGAGGGCGCCGTAGGAGGTGGGCGCGGTGATGAAGAGGCCGGCGGCCTCGGTGTAGGACCAGCCGTCTGGGATGGGGAGGAGCTCCTTTTCGCGGGCGACGCACTGGGAGGCGAAGGCGCCTTGGGTTGCGCCGAAGACGCGGGCGCCGACGGGGTATTTTGCGTTTGACGAGGGGGCTTTGAGGACGATGCCTGCGAATTCGCAGCCCGATGTCCAGGGGAAGGCTAGGGTATTTAGGTTTAGTATGGTATACTGAAATGTATGTGTGCTAAGTCTCTGAAGGACAGGAAGGGGGGACCGTACGAGGCTGAGTCTGGTATTTCCCTTGGATTTGGAGAATGTCAAAAAAGTTGGCGGCCGTGGCGTGGACTTGGATGAGGTACTCGTCATCCTTCTTGGGGACGGGGTCTGGGAGATCCGTCACGCGGAGCTCCTTGGGAGACTTTTGAATCGTTAGATCGAGTGCTCATTTAGGGAGAATCGTTCCTCAATGGTGATGAAGCTCACCTTGACATATTCCTTAATCTGAATGCCGCGCATTGTGAAGATGGATTCTACTGTGATGTCTGGTACTCCTCGTAGGTAAGGTACTTGATTTGAGATAGATTGAAGGCCAGATGTGAGGTAAAGCTGGCCGAAGTTATACGTAAGAAACTACCGTAAGAGCCGGATGAGATGGAAGATGAATATTGTGAGTTTGTATGAACCTAAGATTGAGGATCTGAGCTGTCGTTAGTCTCGAGCTTCTCTACACGTTGTTACCCCGGACCGGGGGTCTTGGAGACGCCGAGGAGGGGGAGAGCCGAGGCAACGTCTGTGGCCCCTCGTTGGCTAGATTTGGGGCCTTTTCGGTGTGCGAATTCCGGGGATGTGGAGGAGGCTCGGTGAGCAGCAGAGAGAGACATGGCCCGAGCGCCTGCCTTAGAGTCCAAGATCTAGATGCAGATTGGAGGTTCTTTGGCAGGTACCTAGGTAATCAGAGGGATCCAGCCCACCGGCATCAGCTGTTGTCGTCATTTTGGCTACAAATGTGGCGTGTGGATGGCCCTAGTAGATGAATTGGTTGCAATAGGTAGTTGCTTATGCTCTGTGCATCTGATTGAGGTCGTATTTGTATCTGCGCTATCAATACTCCGTACCTATGGACTACCTGAATTGTCATCGACGACTTCACACATGTTGTGAATGTTTGATTGAATGATACTGCTCCGTTACTCGAGGGTAGGCACACTTCCAAAATTGGCCACAAACTTTCCCTTCAAGAGATTAGGTATTGCAGCTCCAAGCCCTTGTGGATGGACGCCGGATTGCTCGCGCGCTATTTGTTGCCGAGTTGTATCGCCATCGTGAATTAGAGGTAGAAGTCAATGGATGACAATGGAAGAGATGACTGTGGTTATGACCTGAGGCTACTTTTAAGTTGGGGTCGTCCAGGGGGGGCGGTCGTTTGGCGCATGGGAATTGAGGGACGTGGAATTCGATACCTACACCTAATCCTGACAATGCGGCTTGGTCGATCATCGCGGGCGAGCATTGATTTCTTCCCCAATAGAATCATTGCTCTGCCCTTGATGTCAGAGATAATAGAGTGCCAATGTAGTCCCTGCGGATTGTCTTGCATCAAATGGGAGGGAGTGCGCCGCCAGCAGAGACGTCGATTCTGACAGCGCTGTCAAAAGTGACCTTAGCTGAGAACCCCCCTGTTCTTACCTATACCTTACCTTCCGCTCCCACCAGCGTTAGCGCGCTGCGGCAAAAGGTGCCTAATTCGACCTGTTCCGTTCGTGAGGCACCTGCTATTGATGTTACCAACCTACCTACCTATGGACTACCATCCTTGAGTCCAGGCTGCCAGGACCACGAGTCACCACCCAAAGTACCCGACGCCGCACAGCGACAGCACCCTCAGTGGGCACGACCCAGCGCTAACCGTAGTTATCTCACTCTCCCGCTCCATTGCGTAAGGTATTGGATCCGTTCCGCCGCACCTCGTAGAACTGGCCCATGCTTGCTTCTGGGCACCTCATTGCCTCCAGTGCTGCTGCTCGCTGCTGGCTGCTGCCCCTCCCCGACGCCATCATTGGAGCCCACCAACCGTCACCAACGACACAAACACCCAATCCTGCGCAACTCCCCTCCGGCCACCTACCATATTTCACCTGCCTAACTGACTTGCACCTTGCCCCAGCTTGACCTCGCATTCGGTCGTCTTGTCCACATACTCCCAACAACTTCTCTCTTTCCCTCCAACATCTCACGCCTTTGCCTCTCTTCCACCCCTCCGAGCCATTCTCAGGCCTTCCAGAGACCAAGTCGTCGTCATATACTAGGTACACATCCAGACATTGCCTGACCACCAAGCACCTCCACCGATCGCGCCCACGCACCCGCAACACACAAGGTCATGGCCGACAACGCAGAGGGCACCGCCGATGCCCAGGTCACCTTCAAGGTGAAGACGGGCCAGGATAGCAACCATACTATCACCATGTCTGAATCTGCCTCCGTACTCGACCTCAAGACCAAATTGGCCGGCGAAGATTTCGAGAACGTTCCCGTCGAACGCCAGCGTCTTATCTACTCTGGTCGCGTAATGAAGAACGACGACACACTCGCCACCTACAAGATCAAGCCCAACAACACCATCCACATGGTCAAGAGCGCAGCCAGCAACCCAGCTCCTCAGCCCGCAACTTCAGCCTCCACGCCTGCCGCACCCGCCGTGCCCTCCAACATGGCCGCTGGCACTGCCAACAACATTCTCGCTGGCCTCACCGGAGCCAGATACGCCGGACACATCAACCTGCCCAGTCGCGAGACATTTGGAGCTGACGGAGGAGTAAGTTTCTTTCAGTGCCGCGGCGAGTCTTGCGTGGCATAAACTAATCTTACGTTTCCAGATGGGTGCCCCGCCATCCGACGACCAGTTGGCCCAGATGCTCTCCGATCCCTCCATGCTCCAGACCATGAACGCCGCCCTCGACAACCCCGACTTCATCAACTACATGATCCAGAGCAACCCACACCTGCGCAATGTCCCCAACGCACGAGAGATCATCCAGTCGCCATTCATGCGCCAGATGATGACCAACCCAGACATGCTTCGCAATGTCATGAGAATGCAGCGCAACATGGCCGGCGGAGGCGGCAACGCTGCCTTCCCTGCGCCTGGCGCCACCGACACTACTCCTGCCGAAGCTGCGGCTGCCGGCGGCAACACCGGTCAGCCTCCCAACCCGTTCGGCTTCCCCGCAGGTTTCCCAGGCTTTGGTGGCGGCGCTGGTGGAATGGGCATGGAGGGACTCGGCGATCTCAGTGCGCTCTTTGGCCCTGGTAGTCCGTTTGCGCCTCAGCAACCCGGTGCTCAAGGTGCAGCTCCCGGTGCGGGAGCGGCGACTGGCGATAGTGCCCAGACTACAGCTGGTGCCGGAGCTACTGGGACGACAGGCACGGCAGCGGGTGGACAGGGCGCAAACTCTACAACGAGTCCACCTCCGGCCAACCCCTTTGCTGCTCTGTTCGCCCCTCCTCCTTACGCAGCTCAGGGCCAAGCTCAGGGTCAAGGCCAAGGCCAGGCACCCGCAAACCCCTTTGGCGCCTCGCCCTTTGGTCAGATCAACCCAGAGATGATGCAGCAGATGATGAGCATGTGGGGTCTCGGTGCAGGCGGCGGTGCTGGTGGAGGCTCTCCGGCTCCCCCAGACAACCGTCCCCCCGAGGAGCGTTATGCCGAGCAACTGCGCCAGCTCAACGATATGGGCTTTTTCGACTTTGATAGGAACGTAGCCGCTCTGCGTCGTAGCGGTGGCAGCGTGCAAGGCGCGATTGAGCATCTTCTGAGTGGTTGATTATGACTTGAAATACATGACCGGGGGGTAGAGAGAGAAAGAGAGAGAGAGAGAGAGAGAGCAGAGTAGTAGCAGGAAGCGTCTCACGAGGACGCATGACTTAATGCCCTGTGAACAGGATACGGAGGGAAGTACATACCATACCTAGTTGTCACGCGCTTTGGTTCTGGCAGTTTCCGAGGCGATATGGAAATTATCCAGGCATGATGTTTATGAAAGTTCACAACCCAATATCTTGGATCCTCTCGTGACTAAGGAGACCACGTGAAGCCTTGTTATTGACGGAAGTAGAAATACGGAGAGCGTTTGTTATTAATCCCGATCAAGCAAACGTCTTGTATCGCGCTTAATGATATAAACGTGGTGGCTTGATTGAATGGTCGTTCCCAAGCTCCGGCGCGATCCGGCTTAGATCGGCCCCGGATGATTGAGGTGTGCCGGCCCAGAAATCGGCGCCGTAGCGTCTGCAGGCTAAGGAACTCAACTCACCACCAACCACAAACAGTGGTTCATGGCGGCTTGAGTCTATCAGCCTTCCTCCACAACAACGTGTTCGGATAAGATGTAGCGAAAATGATTCAAGGAATCTTCTATGCTAGGTTCTTTCCCAAAGAGGGTATGTATCTTGTTTTTTTCTTTTTTCCTTTTGAAAGAGGCTGCAATGCGCTCGCTCTTTTAAACTTCGCAGAAGGTCAATACTCAACGACGCACCTCAAACTAACCTCCACGATGTAGGCCCGCACATCGTGGCCCAGTCGCCGCCGGGCTGCATCACCACGCCGCCCCCCGGCTCTGGGGCGACGGCCGCGATGAAGCCGCCGCTCATCGACTGGGAGGTGATGCAGGAGTACATTGTGCCGCGCAAGGCCTTTTTCAACCGGTACATGACGGTGCAGGACCCCGAGGGCAAGTACGCGGTGCTGGGGTTCCCCGTGCTGATCCCGCACCAAAAGTACCAGCGCAACGAGTTCATCTTCAACTTTGGGCTGGTGCTGGACGCCGACGCGGATTTAGCGCAGTATGAGCCCGTTGTGCGGCGGTTGGCGGTCACGTTTAAGGAGATGGAGAAGCAGAATGAGTATTTGAGCCAGGAGGGCAGCGGTGGAGGGTCAGGAGCGGCTGGGATGAGGGAGAGGAGGCCGATTGAGAGTTTGTTGGAGATTGTCAAGGAGGATTTGAACAACTATGGCGAGTGCATGATTCCTGTTGGTAAGTTACACACTCTCCCCTTTCTTGCTCTCCGGTTCCGCGCATCGCCAATATCTCGAGACATCGCTGACCACAGAGGGCCCCAAAAGACGACGCAAACACCATCAACATGAAGCTCTTCCCGCACCACGCCAGCCCGCCCCAGGTCCGCGGCTGGCACGTCCCCGTCGCCAAGATGAAATTCGCCGAAATCGTCGACCAGACCTGGGACCTGACGATGCAGAAAGTCGTCGCGCACATTGACGGTGTGAACGACGTCCGCCGCATCGCCTGGCTCGCCGACGTCTCGCTCGACCTCGCCACGCTGGCCCTCCGCCACCTGCTGTATTACGACACCGTCCTGCTGCTCGACATGTTCTTCTTTGGCAGCTGCTACGCGCCCCGCCCCGGGATACACGACTTCGTCGCGGACCGGGACGGGATCGTGGACGAGTGCGCGGCGTACGTGTGCATCCACGCCCGGCAGCGCGTCAGCAACTTTATGCTCATCAAGCTCATGACGAGCTTCTGTGTGGGCAAGAGCGTGATGGAGTGGCTGCGCACGCACCAGGAGGCCGGGTTCGACGTGCTGAGGTACGTGGACGTCAGGCGGCTGGTGCAGTTTGGCGTCATCAAGGGGTGCTTGTACCGCGTGCACAAGTACGTCGTGTCCAAGCAGTACCTCGCGGGACTAGCGACGGGCCAGGCGCGGCCCAGGGCTGGTGGCGGGGGAGGGGGCGACGCGCTGCAGGTGTATACGGACGGGTGTCACTCGTTTGACCAGATTATTACGGAGAAGAATCTCACGGATGGGGAGATTATGGAGAAGCTCAAGGCTTTGCCGGTGCCGAGCGGGGATCTGACTGTGTTTTATCGTTGAGGGTGTCTTTATAAAATGTTGTCATAAGCATGGTGGTTTTACATTGTTCTAAGTTTTTGGTAGTGTACAGGTCATTGTACAGATATTTGCACATGGTATCGGATGTGATACATCAAAATATTTCGAAAGACGAGAAGGACTGCGGCAGTCTCTCGTTTACTCCCGCGATTTGCCCTCCTCGAACGCTTGCTGGCGCTCGCTCTTCTTGGGGAACTTGATATCCGGGTTATTCGCAACGGTAACCTCCTCCTCCTCGGCGGCCAGCTTCTCCTTGACCATCTGCTCCAGCTCGCGGCGCGACAGCTTGCGGCCCTCGGCAGCGGCGAGCTCCTTGAGCTGCTGCATCAGCACGCGCGTCTTGCCCTTGAAGGGCTCGCCCGGGTAGGCCTTGCCGGTGTCCTGCCACTCCTTGTCACTGACGACCTCGATGATGCGGACGTTGTGCTTGCCCTTGCGGATGATGAGCACGCGGCCGTCAATAAGGAACTTGGGCACGTCCTGCGGGTACCAGAGCTTGACGGGCGTCCAGTCGAGGTTTCCGGGCACGAGGCCGCGCATGTCCTTGCCGGGCGCGGCGGCGACGTAGGCGCCCTGGGCGCGGGCGATGCGGTGGCCCTCGCTGACGGAGGTGGCGAGACCTGCGGCGTAGAGGATGCGGGCGATGCCTTGGTTGTAGATGAGGTTTTCGGGGAGCTGCATGTCCATCTTGGGCGCGTTGTTGAGGGTCGTCGGGTGGCCTTCCACGGCCTTGTAGGGGGCCACGGTGTTGTCCTGTCCCGCTTTCTCGGGCGAGGCGCCGGCGAATTGGGTGCCGGATCCCTTGCTGTACATGAACTGATGCTGCTGCTGCTCCCTGATGGCAACGTCGGCGCCGTGGACGAGAGAGAGCACCTCGAAGGCGAGGGTGTGCTGCGCGACGCGCGCGGGCGGGTTCTTTGCGTGGTCGACCATGAGCTTCTCAATGTTGGCGGTGGGCAGGAAGGTGAAGAGCTTGAGGAGCCGCTCAACCTCGGTGTCGGACCGCCGGGCGAAATAGCCGTAGAGGTCAAAGGCGCTCGTCATAAAGGGGTCGAGCCAAACGGCGTTGCCAGCGCTCTTGCCAAACTTTGCGCCCGCGCTGTCCGTCAGGAGGGGCACCGTGAAGCCGATGGGGTCGTCTCTCCAGGTCTCGGGCATGCGCATGTTGGGGTTCTCTTCAGACGCGCGGATCGTCTTGACGGCCTCGATGCCCGTCACGATGTTTCCGAACTGATCTGAGCCTCCGATTTGCATCTGGACGCCGAGCTTGGAGTACAGGTGCCAAAAGTCCCATCCTTGCATTAAGGGGTAGGTGAATTCTGCGAGGGACATGCCGTCGCCCTTTTCCATCTTGTTCTTGACTCTAGACAGGGGGTCAGCAACTCTGTCGAAAAGGGGTAGGGGGACTTCTCCTATATGAGGACTCACGTATCGCGGCCGAGCATGGGCCCTATCCGCATGAAGCGGCCCAGTCTCTTCATGACATCGTACAATGGCAAGCTTTGCCACCACATGTTGTTGTTCACGAGATGTCTCTTGGCCGCCCAGTCCGCCTCATGGCCGTACTTTCGCCCCAGGGCTTCCACATTTGCCCAAATCTTCTTAAGCTGGTAGTGGATCTTTGTGATGTTCATTGAGACCTCGCTATTCGCCATGACCTCGCGCGTCTTCAGTCGGTCCGTCGGGTCACCTATCCTGCCCGTCGCGCCTCCGACCAGCGATACGGCCGTGTACCCGTTGAGGTACATCCAGAAAAGGGGCATAAAGGGGAGAAGGTGGCCGACGTGGAGGGACGCCGCCGTGGGATCGACGCCGACGTATGCGCCTATTCGTTTGGTCCGCAAGAGTTCTTTGACCTGCGGTGTGCGCCTTGAGTTCGGTCAGGTCAGCAAACATTATCTCGAGTAGCGACAGCGAAGGGGGGGCGCCTCGACTCACCCTGCGACGTCCTTGACGTAACCTCGCTCCTCAAATACATCCCAGATGTTCTGAATTTCACCCTGCTCAATTGCTGTGGCGCGTCTTGCCCACTCCTCCTCTCCTGTCTTGCGCTTCTCCACGACCTTTTGTGATACCCATCTCGCTTGGTTTTGTCTGAAATGGGCTACTGGGAGCGCAGCGCATCGAACGCAAATATTCCGCCGTAATTCGGGGAGGCGGGCCACCAATGTCGACGACATGATGGGGTATGTGTGTTGGTAATTAGAAGATCTGTAATTTTGAATGCATTGAAGAAAGAGCGGCAAAGAAAAGCTCAGCACTGGATAGGAGTCTGAGGATGTGAAAACCAACCCTGCCAGCAACCAGAATGACTGACACAGGTCACTCAGAGCTGTCGCGCAACTGATCCCACTCCAAGCTCCAAAAATTTCCCTTATCGCAATGTCGATAAGACTTGTCACGCATGTACGTTGGCCCGATGGCCGGCCCATGCCGACTTTCTTCGTCGCCCGAAATCACGTGGAGCCATCGGGGTGCTATTAGCCAATCACAGCCCTTCCAATGTCAGACGCCCGTCTTCGCGATCCGGAACCTGTGCCTACCCTCGGCTAAGTGGACATCATCGATTCCGGCACTCTAAACCTAGCTCTCCTTCTCAACTTCCAAGCCTCCAAACAACGACATCCTGCCTCCCTCCACCCGCGAATACCAATTGAACCGCCCGTGAAATACCAGCGATCACCATGGCTTCGATTGTGCGCCCTGCTTTTCTCCGGCAAACAGCCACGGCGGCCCGCATGGCCCAGGCCACCCCGATCCGTTCCGCCTTCGTCAAGAACTCGTCAAGAGTCGCCGCCTTCCACACAACCGCCAAGAGGGATCTGTTGCCCGTCGGTCCTCGTACGTCGCAGTCACCTTGCATGCTATACATTTATAATCGAACCGTTGCTAACCTATTCACTGCAGAGGTCAT